TCGCCAACCTCTCCCGTCCACCGTAGAGTCGGGGAAGTCTCCGGCAAGGAGACACGGGGCCAGAGGTTGAGCTGATGCGCTGCGTACCGGACCGCAAACGGCCACAGAAAGTGGGGAGCAGCCGCATGGGTCAGGGAGGTACGAGCGACCTCCATGACCAAGCCAATGCGGCGCTCAGCGACCCCATTCTGCTGTGGAGAGGCCGGAAGCGTGAACGACTGCTCAATGCCGTGGTCAGCACAGTAGGCTGCCAAGAGGTCGGAGGCGAACTCACCACCCCTGTCAGAGTGCAAGCGCAGGACAGGAAAGTCCGAGTGAAAGCGCTTGGCTAGCTGGAGACGGGCTCGGCTGATCCAGGGGATCAAAACACCAGGGACGTCACCCTTGGCGCGCAAGGGGAAGACCGTGGTGTAGCGCGAGTAGTCGTCAACAACTATCAGGAAGTACCTCTCCTGACCCTGACCACGGACGCGGGCTGGGCCCCACACGTCCATGTGGAGCGTCTGCAAGGGAGCAGTCGTCGGGGGAAAGGAGGAGGAGTGAGGAGCGGCGCGCTGCCGCCCCTCGACACAGGGAATGCAGTCAGGAGCAGGGGAGTCGGGAAGGGGAGGGAGCACCCTGGGAAGACCAGCAACAAGGTCCCGTTTGTGCATGGCCCGCAGGCGCTGCACAGACGGGTGACCAAGGCGGTGGTGCCAGAGGACGGTGTCGTTCGCCAGAGAGCGACACGAGCAGGGGGCGGACAGCTGACCTGACGCTGACGCAGACGCAGCTACCTGAGGGGACTCAGTGGTCAGTGTGTACAGGTCAGACCCCGGCTCTCGAGTGAAAGTAGCTAGGTGGCGGCCCGTCCGAGCACATGTGCAGTGAGTCACACGCTCGTAGGCAGGGGTGAACTGGTGAACACCCCCGTCCTGGAGCGCACTACCTGCCACCAAGTTCGTGGAGAACGAGGGGAGGTAGAGACCTGACAGCGTGCCGGACGGAACCGCTGGACACGGAAGGGTGGTGGAGGAGGTCGCAAGGACCGGACCCCCAGAGGGGTCAGCAAGAGAGACAGCAACCGGCCGAGCTAGAGGCTCAAGGACAGTGCGGTCACGAAAGAAAGAGCGAGAAGCACCTGAGTCCAGTGTGAAGGTGTGCAGTGCTGCAGTCAACTCAGTACCAGGGGGCACAGACGCACAAGCACCTAGAGCAGCAGCTGCAGTAGTACCTGTGGGAGCAGACACACTAGCACCTAGAGCAGCAGCGGGGCTGGCCTGAATGCCCGGGTCGGGCGGAACACGCAAGTACTGAGCACCCTCTCCACTAATAGACATCGCATACATGGCAGTGAGGATAGCATCAAAGTCTAGTGCCCAAATATCAACACCCTTCCTGAGCAGCTCAGCCCAGCGCGGCAGCTCACCCCCACCAGGAAACTGGGTGCGCCACGCGTCGTTGAGGCGGGCGAAGCAGCGCTCCGTCTGGTGCGGCCCCCCACACGTCTGGCCAGTGCGGTCACCTGTGCGAATAACGTACTGGCAGGTGACGCTGCGCCGCGCATACCACTCACGGGCGGCCTGAAGGGTCGGGGCAGGCTGCTGACTCTGACCGCCCCCCGGGCCTCCACGACCACCACCCCCGCCGCCTCCGCCCCGGCCACCTCCACCCCTGCCGCTGCCACGACCACCTCCGCCTCCGATGCCACCTCCGCCCCTGTCACCACTCCCACCGCCGCTGTCACCTCCACCACTGCCGCCACTAGCCTCTCCAGTCGCACCTCCACCGCCACCACCTCCACTCCCGCCTCCTCCGCCACCACCCCCACTCCTGCCACTCCTGCCCCTGCGTCGTCCGCCTGAAGCAGACGCAGCCCCGACCTTCTCAGCACCAAGGAGGTCGACAGCAGCAGCAGAGGCGACAGAGGGGAGGAGGGGGGAAGGGGAGCACCCCTCGAAGAAGGGGCCGCGGGGGTCGCCACGAGAGGTGCCTACAGCGACGATACTAGCCTCGGCTGCAAGCAGTTCCTTCTCGAGGAGGTCTACGGTGAGTTCAGTGGGGGAGCGAGAGAGGAACTGGTCCCTGACAGGGCGCAGAGAGTCAGGGAGGCGGGTGACAACGTGGTAGAGAGTGATCCAGAGCGGGGGGGGGTTGCTAGCGAGGAACTCGTCAGGCATGGCAGCGCGAAAGCGAGCCTCACTAGTCTTAAGGTGGGTGATGAGGTCTGCGACAGTGTGAAAGGAGGCTAGGTCGGGGAACAGGTAGGGGAGAGTGAGGCGGCCTAGTGTGGCAGAAGCGGGTGAGGAGTAGCGGGCCACTACAGCTGTGTAGAGGTCCTTAGCAGTCTTGCACTGGCCGAAGTGCTCGCGCTCATCTAGTGGCAGGGAGTTGCGAATAGCAAAGCGAGCGTGCGCGTCACGGGTCTGCCACTGTGAGCGCTCAGCTGGGGGGGCAGTAGTGAGTGGGGCGGTCGCATGGCCGAGAGCGTGGTCGTACAGAGTAATATCTTCCTTGGCAGTGAGCTGTAGGAAAAGGTGCAGGTCATCTAGCCAGGTTTCGAATTTGACCGGACGGCCCTCGGCGTCGAAAGCTAGAACAGGAGGACTAGCCATAGCGACAGCGGCAGTAGTAGAAGCAGTAAAGTCACTGAAAAGGCGTGCGCAGGGTCAGCGGGGCCGGTGGGGCCTACGGACTGTAGTGGCGCACAAGCAGCAGTAGCAGGAAGTGTAGTAGCAGGATCTGCAGTGGTGCACAGGCGCAGCAGGCGGCAGCGAGAGCCGGCGCAGCAGGGGCGGGCTCAGCAGCGGTGATACGCGGGCAGCGGCGGGCGCAGCAGCGGCGGTGCGCGGGCGGCGGCGGGCTCAGCAGCGGCGGGCCGGTAGCAGGCAGTGCGCGGGCCGCGCGGGCCGTATGTGAGCTGTGCGGGCAGCGTGCGGGCCGGCGGCGGTCAGCGCACGAGCCGCGCAGGCTCAGCGCGGGCTGCGCGGGCTGCTCGCGGGCTGCGTAAGCGGGTCGCGGGCGGCTCGCGGGGGTTCGCGGGCAGGTCGCGGGCTGCTCGCGGGCAGTTCGCGGGCTGTGTGCGGGCTGCGCGGGCTGGTCGCGGGCTGCGCAGGCGGTTCGCGGGCTGTGCGTGGGCGGTTCGCGGGCTGTGAGCGCGGCGCGCTGTGCGGTTCGCGGGCGGCGTGACGGGGCCGATCGGGGCGCTAAGGGGCGACGCGACGGGGGCCGTGAGAGGCCGCTAGGAAAAAAAAAGTTCGACGGGGCCGCAGGGCCGCTAGATCGTGCTAGATCGACGGGGCCAGCGGGGCCGGAAACAAGTGAAGGTAAGCAGGTAGGTAAGTCGGTGGGCCCTAAGAACAGTCCTAGCGAAGGACCTGCTCTGAAACCATGTCAGAAATAACTGAGCAGGAATGGAATGAACTAGCACAGAGTTTGGTACAAGTAGGAAACCCTAACTTTGAGTACCCCCTAAGGTGTAACCCACTACAGCCTACATAATACAAACATGCAATGTTTGACAGTGCCGACCCATGTCTCCCTTGTTTCTAGGCCAGGAGTCAACCTGACGAAACGAGTGGACGAAATGAACGTGGTTTCGTAAATGCATTTGCACACCTGCCCCGCCACCTAGGCGAGGATCATGGTGCGTGTAACAGACATATGGGCTGGTGCACGCTGCCACGTGTATTTCGCACTTGTGGGGTACAAGCCCATTAACAACCAGGCGTTGTTCGCCTACCCCACGTCAGATTTTGGGAAAATATGTCAATGGTAACAAACATGGGGCACTGTAACGCGTACGGTAACGATTTCAACGCGTTTGGTAACTCGCTTAACGCGTTTGGTAACTCACTTAACACGTTTGGTCACTCGCGTAACACATTTGGTAACTCTACACTAGCAGCCCATCACGCGAATGGTAACTACATGAAATTCCCGCCGAAATTGAGCCTGATTCTGGTTTTTCCCGCTCGCGTCAGAAAAATTTGACGAATTCTGAAGCAGGAACCTCTGACACACTCTCCGAAATTCTGACACTGTTTTCCGAAATTCTGACACACTCTCCGAAATCCTGACACACTTTCCGATTTTCAAAAATATTGCAAAAACAGAAGTGTTGTGAAAATATCTGTTCATACATAATTAAAATTCTGGCGCTCCTTCCGCAAACTTTAGTACTTTTTTCTATCGTGCAGCCGGGGCAAACAAATCTATACTCCTTTCAAATGGCAGATAAATCTGAGAGAAACAAACTTAAACTTCTTGCGACCAGGCGTTTATGGTTCTTTATTTGAAATACGAAACATTTAATTTTCAAGAGGAGTGTTTTTTCCCACGTGCAAAAATTCTCCAACGTTGCATTAATTATAAACGGTAAAATTCCCAAGGTCCTTTCTGATTTTTTTTTTATCGTTTTGCAAGTTCGCAATCATGCTATTAAATTTTAGAATTTAACCATTTTTGTACGAGCTCATATATATATATATATATATAATGGCCCTAAATCTTTGTGGTCTGTGGTATTAGAACAAACGGGGTCCTTCAAATTCGCGGCGGGACTTTGTTCAAATGAATAATACTATGCGTAAAAGCTTTCCAATTCGATAAATTCCTCTTTTTCAGGCTCATTTCGGCGGGAATTTCATTTAGTTACCATTCGCGTGATGGGCTGCTAGTGTAGAGTTACCAAATGTGTTAAGCGAGTGACTAAACGTGTTAAGCAAGTTACCAAACGCGTTAAGCGAGTTACCAAACGCGTTGAAATCGTTACCGTACGCGTTACAGTGCCCCATGTTTGTTACCATTGACATATTTTCCCTCAGATTTTCACCGAGGTGGTAACCCAACCACATGTTCGAAATTGTAAGCAGGGTGCATGCAACGAACAGCCACCACACGAAACAAACCCTCCACACCAAACAGGCCCCCGCACCGATCAGCCTCTCCTCCAACCAAAGTTAAAATTCGATGCACAGAGTCACCAAAGCATCGCTCTTTTCCCGTCACCGCCTCCCACCATGCCGCGGTTTAATCGCCGTGAGCAGCTTCCGCTGCACATCAAGCGCGCATTATGCGCGCATCACGTCGAGCACCCCCTCCTGCGTCACGTAGATCTCGCCCGCTGGGTTTACGCCCAGTATGGCCTGCGACCTGACCGCTCCACGGTCGGCCGCATCCTGAAGAATGCCGACCGTTGGGCGCTCACCGAACCCACTGCCGCTAATCAAGTGCGCCGTCGCGGTGGCGCATGGCCTGAGCTTGAGCAGGCCATGGCGCGCTGGATCGCCAACGCTGGCCCCGCGGGCGTACCACTCACTCTGCAGACGATCCGCGACCACGTGGCGACCATGGCGCGCAACATGGGCATTCCGCCCGTGTTCCGTTGCTCCATTGGCTGGGTGCGCCGTGCGTTGCGGCGCCAGGGAGTGCGATGCCGTGCCGCCACCGGCGAGGCGGCGAGCGCCGACATGGCTGCTGTCAAGCGGGCAAGCCCCGCGCTCAATCTCAACACGGCCCCGCCGCCCAGGCTTTCGCCTTTCGCAACTCCGCCGCCTGACACCCCGCGTCCGCGGGGCCGAGTGCTGCCTGGCTGGATGACCCAGCCGTCCCGCCGTCAGCAGCTTCTGGACGGCGGGGTTGGCGCCGCGATGGGCGGGTACGTGGAGGCGGCAGAATGGATGCAGGTGTGAGTTGGAATGTTGGACTCACGAGCAGGAGTTGAAGGTTGGGATCGGGGAGTTTCTGAGGATTTGATAAGTGTTGGGATTGTGCACATAACGGTCACATTTGCAGTAGAGGGGATGTTGTGGAGCTCGGGGGTGAATGGCCATGTGGTAGATTGTGATTGGCCCGGCTTTGTGTGTCAGCTGTTTCAATCTAAGTTGAACAAATGTTGATGTTGCTTTACGCGTTTGTTCTGCTTTCGTAAGGATTTCGGTAACGCGCACATGTGACAATAGGTGCCACCCGACACTATTACATAACGGACAAAGTGAGTGGTAACCATGTGCGCGTTAAATGCACGCGCAAAGCCTGACGAAACCCTCGACGAACAGACGAAATGACGTTTTAGCTTACAGTCCCCCTTAACAAGGCAACCGGGAGGGGCTCTAACGAGCATTAGCTGTATAAAGAGACTAGCGGCAAAGCAATCAACCATTCAATCACTTCGTTCGCCTCACTCACACTCCCAGTTTTTCAGAAGTGCAAGTCTTTTGCGACGATGGCATTCCCCAACGGCCAATTCGCCCTGCTTGTGCTGGTTGGCCTTGTGCATATCGCCTCGGCAACAAACATGCCCGCCGCTGGTTGCCACACCCGCTATGTGTGCCCCTACATTGACAACCTCGCTACTGCGACAATCACCCAGTCCACGTTCACCAGTTACAAAAACATTGGCGAATACTTCGGACAGTTCAACAGACAGGGCGGGAAATACACACCACATCAGCGCGGGTCCGGCTCCGTGAATTTCGAGCGGTACACGGAGGTGGGGACCGTTTTCGACATCGTGAAGGGTGTGTATGGCGAGACACTTCAGGAGTGCTGCCGCGCGTGCGCTCGATCCACCTACTGCTACCAGTGGCACTGGTTCAAAAAGAGAGCACCGTCTCCTAGATTAGTAGTCCTGAGGTTAGGTTACGTATGAATTAAGGCCAATTCCTTTCAGCGAAGTAGCGTTTTCCGTTTTCACCTTGCTGAAATATCCGAAGCTGACTAAATTCGTTTCTTTTGCTGCCTTCGTTTCCCCATTTTTCACCGCTCTCCACAGCACTCGTCTGGCTGGCGAGAACGTGAACGTGAAGGGCTTCATCGACCGCGTGCAGTGCTACCTGCTGGAGAAGAATGGCGGCACGGGCACGTCAGGGTCCTTCAAGACGCCATACGCGGGGAGCACCGCGGAGCAGACGGCAAACGCGGCCAAATACCCGCTGAGCTTCGTCGGCGGGCTCTGCAACGGCACGGCGCTCGTCGAAAACGACCCGCATCTCACGGGCGCTCACGGAACGCACTACGACTTCACCGGCCGGCGCAATAAGTCCTTCTGCCTCTTTTCCGACTGTCGGTTCCACGTCAACATGCTGCTCGACGGGTACCAGGGCACGCCGCCCGCGCTTCCCGCGTCGGCGTCGGCGAATAAGGACAAGGAGACGAGCACGGAGCTGCACACGTGGATTAAGGAGCTCGGCGTGGTGTGGATGACGCCCGACGGCGCGAACCACACGCTGCGCATGGTTGCGCGCAAGGGCAAGCAGCAGGAGCGCGGCAGCGACGGCTTCGTGTCGCTCATTGAGATCGACGGCCAGCCCACGGCGCCTCCCACCGTTGGCGAGTCGATCGCGACGGAAAGCGGGTTGGAAGTAACTAAAATCGCGGAGGCGGCGAAAGAGGGGCCGTTCGACGTGGATCGGTTCCAGGTGCGCGTGGCGGGGCTGGGGGAGCTCGACGTGCGCGTGCGCGTGGCGCACCCGCTGCTGCAGACGCCGGCGGAGGCGGAGGCGCACTTCAACGTGGAGCTGTCGGACGTGAAGATGACGTCAGCCGTGCACGGCGTGCTGGGGCAGACGTTTAGGAACACGGCGGAGCAGCTGAAGCGCGCCGTGAAGTACTCGATGCTGGCGGCGCTGCTGCACCGCCCCGTGGACTTGGACAAGGCGGACGGGCAGGGCTTCCTGGACGGGCAGGTCGAGGATTACATTTCGTCGTCTGTCGTCGCGCCCGACTGCAAATACGCCAGCTACGCCGCCGCTGCTGCCTAAGAGGACCGCGTCCTAGTGGCACAACGTACGGCTTTGGACTCTTGAGACTGTTGGTAGGTAGATTTGTGGAGAGGGTGGAATCAACTTCTTGCAACCCTAAACCAGTGGAGTGGTAGATTTGTTGGTAGGGTGGAAGTTCTTACAACTTCGAAACTGGTTGTTGGGTGGCTGGGGGCTGCAGGATGCGAGGTTAGGTTCGGATGGACCGGTTTGTTTTGGATGGAAGGGGGGGATTAGTCGGCCCCGTTTCAGTCCGTGCCCCTAGCGGATGGCCTTTCCTGTAAGGCAAATAAAGGTGGGCGGGTGGCCGCACTGTAGACAATTGTTCTCAAATATGGGTGCATTTGTTTGTTTTTATTTCGCTTGACCACCCTGAGTTTAGTGCTCTGACATATATCAGATCACTTTCTGATCACTTTCGCTAAAAAGAATCTGGCCAGTTTAGCGAATCACAAGGGCAAGGGTATCTTGTTCACATTTTTGAGGCATCATTTGCAGCTTCCCCTCTTAGCAGTTCCCCCCTTAGCAGTTCCCTCCTTAGCAGTTCTTCCCTTGTGGTCCCCCCATTGCAGTCCCCCCATTGCGGTGCTTCCATTGCAACCCCTCCTTGCAGAACCCCGCACATCCCTCCTGAGTCCCAACCCTCGTCTGTTGACTGATTGATTCATGCCTCGCCCCTTTCAGCATCTCACAGGGTCCTCCCTCAAGTGATTCTTGGATCGACTCAAAAGTCACATCCATCCATCATGACCCTCATCTGCCGAGCCAATCGCCTCACCTTGCTCCTCCCAAAATCTCACAAAATCCACTGTTATCCGCTTGCAATATGAGAGGTGCTGACCCACCTCCAGCTACTTTGCAGACGCCTCAAAAGCTGTTTCTTCAAGCACCTCAGAAGGGTTCCCTCTGATCCGCCTGCAGTATAGAATATTTTGACCTGCCTCCAGCATATCAGCATTTATAAGGGAGAATGAGTCTACTCACAGGCTCCTCTCTGATATTGCACGCGTTTTCTTCAAAATTCTCACTCACTGCTGAGGGGCTCCTGCCTTATCTGCCTCCCCCTTGTGCTTGCTCCTGCCTCCTCTCCTACCTCCATTCATGTCCCCCATCCTCTTGTGGCCTACCCTCAGAAAATGCTTGAGGGCTCCCTTCCCATCTGCTTCACTTCTCACTTTTCATTTCCCCTCTCTCTTGTTCGATCCCCCCTCTCTTTTCACTTCCCCACTCTCCTTACCGCCTCCTCCCTCTTTTCCGCATACCTTTTCCGCATACCTTTTCCGCATACCTTTTCCGCATACCTTTTCCGCATACCTTTTCCGCATACCTTTTCCGCATACCTTTTCCGCATACATTTTCCGCATACCTTTTCCGCATACCTTTTCCGCATACCTTTTCCGCATACCTTTTCCGCATACCTTTTCCGCATACCTTTTCCGCATACCTTTTCTGCATACCTTTTCCGCATACCTTTTCCGCATACCTTTTCCGCATACCTTTTCCGCATACCTTTTCCGCATACCTTTTCCGCATACCTTTTCCGCATACCTTTTCCGCATACCTTTTCCGCATACCTTTTCCGCATACCTTTTCCGCATACCTTTTCCGCATACCTTTTCCGCATACCTTTTCCACTCCCCCCTCTCTTTCTGCTCCCCCTCTCTCTCCTTCTCTCCCCCCTCACGCGCTTCTTCCCTGTTTTTTGCTTTCCCCTTTTTTTTTCCGCTTTCCCCCTCTTTTCCGCATCCCCCCTCTCCTTTTCCACACCCCCCCTCTCTTTTCCGCCCCCCCCCCCCCTCCCCCTCTCTCCTTTCCGCATCCCCCTGTCTGCTTGCTTCTGCTCCTCTCCTGCATCCACCTTTCCTAGTTCCCCCTCCCCCCTAACTCCAAAGCCTCCTCAGAAGCAAGAAAGGGAGAGAGGGAGGGAGGGGGAGGGAGGGGTAGGAGGAGGAGGAGGAGGAGGAGGAGGAGGAGGAGGAGGAGGAGGAGGAGGAGGGGGAGGAGGAGGAGGAGGAGGAGGAGGGGGAGGAGGGAGAGTGAGAGCAGTGGTAGTGGAAGAAGAGGTGGGGGCAGCGAGAATCAGTACATTTGTAGCAGCAGTTGTAGCAGCAGCCGGAGCAGACATGGGAAATGAGAAGGAAAGGTGGGAAGAATGAGAAATGAGAAGGGAGGTGGGAAGAATGAGATATGAGAAGGAAGGTGGGAAGACTGAGATATGAGAAGCAAGGTGGGAAGACTGAGATATGAGAAGGAAGGTGGGAAGACTGGGATATGCGAAGGAAGGTGGGAAGAATGAGATATGAGAAGGAAGGTGGGAAGACTGAGATATGAGAAGCAAGGTGGGAAGACTGAGATATGAGAAGGAAGGTGGGAAGACTGAGATATGAGAAGCAAGGTGGGAAGACTGAGATATGAGAAGGAAGGTGGGAAGACTGGGATATGCGAAGGAAGGTGGGAAGAATGAGATATGAGAAGGAAGGTGGGAAGACTGAGATATGAGAAGCAAGGTGGGAAGACTGAGATATGAGAAGCAAGGTGGGAAGACTGAGATATGAAAGGAAGGTGGGAAGAATGAGATATGAGAAGCAAGGTGGGAAGACTGAGATATGAGAAGCAAGGTGGGAAGACTGAGATATGAGAAGGAAGGTGGGAAGACTGAGATATGAGAAGCAAGGTGGGAAGACTGAGATATGAGAAGGAAGGTGGGAAGACTGGGATATGCGAAGGAAGGTGGGAAGAATGAGATATGAGAAGGAAGGTGGGAAGACTGAGATATGAGAAGCAAGGTGGGAAGACTGAGATATGAGAAGGAAGGTGGGAAGACTGAGATATGAGAAGCAAGGTGGGAAGACTGAGATATGAGAAGGAAGGTGGGAAGACTGGGATATGCGAAGGAAGGTGGGAAGAATGAGATATGAGAAGGAAGGTGG